TGGGCCAGGAGTGGTTACGTTGTGCACTTCACACTCTGAGCGCGACATACTGCTGGCGAGCAGTGTTGGGCTAGAGTAGGAGCTAGGCATACAGCATAACTCGTGTACTGAAGTGCAGGGTGACTGGACGTCGGCAGAGGAGGAGAGGGTGCTCGCTTGCTGGCACCAGAGGTAGGGATGGTGATTAGAGCTGTACCGACCTGTTACCTGCATGACATCGGTGGCTCGAGGCACTGCTTTCCCCGTTCAGCACTCTCTACCAGGAATGGGGAGAAAGAGCTGAGTTCTTCCTCTTCTCCTGTCTCTTTTCTTCTTTAAGAGAGAGGCAGGGAGACTCGGTCATGGTTTAACGTTTTTGGAGAGGTCTGCTCTCCACTGAGTCTGCAGGAAACAGATTTTGGGCATATTGTTGTTGGAGGCAATGGGCAGGAGGATTGTGTTTTATTGGGATTGGCGTACTTTTTTTTCGCTCCTTTTTCTTCCTTTTCTGTTTCTCTGTTCATGGCTTAGTGGGGATTCCTTGTCCTCCCTCGCCGTGTGGGAGTCAATTCTCTGTGCACACAATCCCCAAGGTGTGCCATTCATCTATTCCCTTTATATGTGCAGTTGACACCCTTTCCCATAGGATTATCCTTGGCTTTCCAGAATGCCCGACTTCGGATATAGATAGACACGTGTGTGTGCGTGTGTGCCAGGCATCCTGGAAAGCCGAGGCTAATTCTATGGGAAAGGGTATCAACTGCACAGATAAAGCAAATAGATGAATGACACACCCAGGGGATTGTGTGCCCAGAGAATTGACTCCCACGTCGTGGGGGAGGATACATACGTAGACGAAGGAATCCCCGGAGTGTGCGTGTGTGTGTGTGTGTGTGTGTGTGTGTGTGTGTGTGTGTGTGTGTGTGTGTGTGTGTTTGTGTGTGTGTGTGTGTTTTGTCATATTCGCTACACACGATTCCACATAGAAAAGGATGACTGTGCCAGACTGTTCGTTGAAATTTCACGAACTCGTCAGGAGGTTGAACCCCGACAGTGTGCCCGGGATGCATCTGGCTGACGAGTAAGGACTCGTCACATCGCCCAGAGTTAGCTATACTGCCGAGAAAAGTGGTAGACTTTACTCACAGCAATCCTGCAGTCCTAGCAGACTGTTGGTCCAAACCCCTGACAAGAATGGCAGTGTGTGGGTGAAATTATGTGTGCAGACAAGGTGCGGACAAGGAATGAAAACTTGTAGCGGACCACGAGAGCAGCATCTATGCTTCAAATGCAGTTTGCCGATGGAGCAGAGCACACACAATAAGATGAAGCAGAGCACACACACATCACAAACGAATACAGAAGATTGGGAGGAACCTAAGCGGATGAAGTAGAGCACACTCAATAACCCATGACAAACAAATACAGAAGATGGGGAGAAGGCCACGAACAATTAGGCAGAGGGCAGGGAAGTGACAAGGCATTGGACAATAAGTGGCAACAAGGCACATAGGCTGGAGGGCATGGGAGAGATGGGTTCGTGGGCAAACAGCACAAGGCAGTGAGGCAACAAACAAAACAAAACACTACAACAACCGAGAAAGGAGCGGAAGAGCCAAAAAAAGCCCTGATGATGACAATTTGCTTCGTCGGACTTGCTTAGACTGCTGAGGAGGCTGAACCCTTGACGATCTCCAGCGTCCCAACATTGCTTTGAGTCATCTACCTTTTGATCCATGTTCAAAGCGGATAGCCTGCAGCAAAAGCACCAAAGCAACAACATAGCGAGGCACGAGGCAAAGCAGCCAAACTAGGTACGCCGCACTAGAAGACAGGGCAAGGCATGCAGATATGGGCAGCTACACAAAAGCACAGCAAGCCCTGATGATGATGATTTGCTTCGTCGGACTTGCTTAGACTGCTGAGGAGGCTGAACCCTTGACGATCTCCAGTGCCCCCACATTGCTTCGAGTCATGTACCTTTTGATCCATGTTCAAAGCGGATAACCTGCCGCAAAATCAGCAAAGCAACAACATAGTGAGGCATGAGGCAAAGCAGCCGCACGAGAAGACAGGGCAAGGCATGCAGATATGGGCAGGTACACGAAAGCACAGCAAAGCGCAAGGCAGCGTTAACAAAGCAGCCAAACTAGGTACGCCGCACGAGAAGACAGGGCAAGGCATGCAGATATGGGCAGCTACACAAAAGCACAGCAAAGCGCAAGGCAGCGTTAACAACTGTCTCTTATACACATCTAGATGTGTATAAGAGACARGCGCAAGGCAGCGTTAACAAAGCAGCCAAACTAGGTACGCCTCACGAGAAGACAGGGCAAGGCATGCAGATATGGGCAGCTACGCAAAAGCACAGCTAAGCGCAAGGCAGCGGTAACTGCATAACGCATAAGTGCACTGCACGGAAAGACAAGGCACGTGAATGGGCAGCAACTGCGCGGAAAGACAAGGCACGTGGATGGGAAGCAACTGCTAGCATGGCAAGGGCGCACCGATAAGGCAGCCAAACTACATGGCAAACAAACCAGATGCAAGGAAATAGATGGGAACCAGAATGGGAAGTAAGGCAGTGGAGGAGTGCGGACAAGGCGGTCCACACATCCAACACAGGCTAAAGTAGTCCATCACCTACTCACGCCACGCGTTGAACCCTGCAGACTCTTGGTTCCCACCACCTGCTGGGCAGGAAGCCATTCCAAAAAACGCATGTCATCACCCTTGGAACACATAGTGCCCCCCCCCTAATATTATTGCAGGCACTCCAAATGAGAAAGCACCGACTGTTTGGCACGACGTAGAGGTCCTAGCTCAGACACAGAGAAAGTAGGAAAGAACGGGAAGATCTCTTTTTTATCCTTTTTTTTTTTTCTTAAACGAATAAAAAATGGAAGCGAGAGACCAACAAGAAGTTGTTATGCTGGATGTGCACTGTAGCATGTTTGTTATGCTCTCGTTTGATGGTGTGCTTGCTGATTCTTCTACAAATTTGAAAGCTACATTTGTTTATTCGCAACATGCTGTGAGACAATCGCAAGAACCACTTTCTGTTCTCGTACTCGTCCCATATTTATGAGCACATCATCGCAGTTCATAGAGATGGGAGGAGGTGCTGAAAATTTCAGGTTCTCAGGGCATACTCACATAGCATTTTCCTATATGTATATGACTACAGTTACGTCCAGGCCTGGATGAATCTGTCTGCAATCACGTCCAGGGCTTAGCAGAAAAGGTCCGTAGAGTGCGAGTATGCGCTCAGCGAGATTATTCAGATCCATACAAATATGCAGCAGGCATGGTTGGGTGACCTTGGGTCATTGTGAAAGTAGCTGCATCAACATCTTGGTTTTCTTTTGATTCTCTCTCTCTCTCTCTCTCTCTCTCTCTCTCTCTCTCTCTCTCTCTCTCTCTCTCTCTCTCTCTCTTTTTTAAGAACAGAAACTCCTGGTTCTGGCTCTTACCTTTCTGGGGAGCGACAGTCTGGTTCCTTTCCCCCAGGCAAGTCAATACTAGATCCATAAGAAACTCATGCACGCTCCTCACCATTATGGCTGGGAGGCCCGAGTAGACGGCATTGATTACTTCGGAAGGAAGGACGTACCATCCCTCACCCCTGCTTAAGTTAGCCTGATTTTTTACTCCTTTCACCATCCCTGTGATCCCAGTTAGCACGTTAAAGTCAGATAATTGTGTTATAACGAGAGTCGTCCGGGACACCTATGGTACAATCCTTAATTATATGTCTCCCTGACTCTCCCACCGTTCCTACGTAATGGTGTCGGTAAAGGAGTTGCTGAATCTTCTGTCTCTTCATGTTGAGCTCTGTGCTGGGTCCCTGCTATTCTCCAGACTAATCGCAGTGTATTACCTTTGAATGTTTCCTAGCTTTCCTTCTCCCAGCTGTTCTTTTTTTTCCTTTAAAAAAAAATAATAATAAAAAATAATTGGTGTTAATTGCAGTGTATTACCTTGAATGTTTCCTAGCTTTCCTTCTCCCAGCTGTTCTTTTTTTTTTCTTTTAAAAAAAAAAGAAGAAAATAATTGGTGTGTTATGCTAGAGCGGACTGAAAGTGCCTACGAATCTCCTGAAATCTCTGACACCCTAAGCCCTGTTTGCCTAGTTTATGCCTAAACCGTAAACCCAAAACCCTCAGCTGTAATGCTGTCATGATTTTTAAGTACTACCTTAACGAATCTGACTCCCTATTCTTGGTCACGTTGCTCTGTATTCTCAAACCAGTGAAAGACGAGTGTGGATGCATCAATTGTTGCTATCTTACCCTTTACCAACGGAACCCGTTGAAACGTTTTAAATGTCTCCCGGGCTTTCTCCGGGTTTTGTTGGGCTTGCCTTCTTGGTCTTCGCCATTGGGGCGTGATATCCGTCTCCAGCAGGTTGTGTAGAACTTTCTTGGCCTCCAGTCTGTGCATTTGCCCCCTTCCTATCGTCATTTGACATCTTCTTTTCCATATGGTGCATAATGTATATGGTTTCAATAGTTGGAATCCTCTTTTTTGTCCCGATTGCCATTTCTTTGGGGAAGTTCCATACCGGTGAGGAGGATCCTCCTGTCTTCCGGAAAGGCCTCATCTGAAATTTTTTGCCACAGTTTCCTGGCTACTTCCCACACGTATGCCACCTCTGGGCATTGTAGCAGGCAGTGAAGCAAGGTTTACGGCAATTTTGCTGATTTCATTTGTGTTGCTGTGTGCAAATGGGGACCTGCGCTTTTGGATCCTCTTGTGTGTTGTGGTGCCCGCAGCTCTCAAATATCATTTCAGCGCGCCTCTTCATTTGTGAGCATCGATGTGCGCACCCGGAGGGTTGAGTTAGCATTGTTTGCATGCTCTCAAGATCGTTTGCGACTCTCAATGGGAGGAGTAGCAAGCAACAGAGGAAGCTGCAGTATCCAATTCTTTCATTGGCAAACGTGTCCATTTTCGACTTGATTGTAGTTGGTGTTTTGGAGTTCCGCTACGACCGCCTGCCGTATATTTTTGACGCGAGTGGTGTTTGACATCCTATGACGATGGTCACGCCAAAACCTCATAGTGTACCTAGCCCTCACTTTAAGGCTGAGCTGGAAGCACTCTCTCTATACATTGAACGAGCCGTTTGTGCGCATAAGTTTTGGGAGAGTCTGAGAGCACAGGGTCGTCCACCAACACACGATCGATGACAGACGGTGAACTCAGTGAGGGCACTGTGCTTAACTCAGCCTTTTTGCATTCAGCCTTTGTTCTCGTACTGTGTCCATGGTACTCTGCTTCAGTCGGTCTTTCTATCATGCCTCTTCAACAAGGGTAGAGCGGTCATCCCCCCTCCAAGCCTGGTTTATTTGCATTCATGATCCATCATATCATCCCTCGAGGTCATCGCCCGCACAAATTCTGTTAGACGAAGGGGACCACAAGGAGGAAGACACCCGCACGTGGTTTTTGTAGCTGCATACGAGGAGGAAACTCTGCTATGACATGTGTGGGGAGCATGGTGGCAGGTACGACATCACAAAAGCGCGGTTGGCTATTCCATTTTTGCATGTAACATATTATTCCCCCTACACACCTGCAGCTCGAGGGGGAAAGAGCAAGGCATGCCCAGCCAAGGAGTGCATACGACGGCATGAGGGTAAGTAAAATGAGAGCTGGTCTTTGTTAGAGACCTGCCCCTTTTGGTGTGATAAGGGGGGGGGAAACGCAAAACAACAACAGGGCTTGGGAGTGGTCTTGTCGAGGAGGGAGAAGAGGGTCATGGTTATCATTCCAGGATGGATTACCATGTCATTGAATCCGCAATTCTATAAATGGTGACATGCTATTAACTTGGAGGGGAGGGAGAAGAGGTTGATGTGCAGCTTTTACGGTGCGTAGTTAGATTGATATTACCTCACCTTTTGCTAATTTCTAATTTTTGTTGCCAAGTATATTGGTTGTGTTCCAGTAGGCTATTAGGGTAGATCAACATTTTCCTCTGGACGTGGGAAAACGCGTGGGGTGCTGGAGTGCATGAGGGGGTGGGGTGGGCGGTCGAGAGCTTCTTCAGAACATTGAAAGACGTGCACATTTTTTGGGACATAGGCTTGAGAGTAGAATCAACCTTGGTTCAGTGGGCCTGATATCGATTATGCTGGGCGGGCAACGGAGAGGAGGGGTGGTTGGTCCTTCGCCTCCCTGCAGGACATCATTTCAGTAGACTGAGGTGGTTGGCGAGGAGTAAGGAGGTTCCTTGTATGCGCAGCGGAGAGGTGGGTAGCTGGCTTCTCGGTGTTTTGGGTATGGTGCAAACAATTCTTGCCTTCGCGGCAGCGCTGGTTGATAGCTATTTAGGTTGATGCAAGTGAGAATGAACTTTGAGAGGACAGCGGTCGAGAAGGGAGTCGAACGCAGAGAGTGGTGAGTTGTCGGCACGGGCGGATGAACGTGTCGGAGAAATGGGTGAGAAATCTGCGGCGGGCCGCAATCAGGGCTAAGGGAAGGGAGACGGCAGCAATCTTATTGAGGGCAAGACAAAGTACAGGCGATCTTTCGAGACTGGTGATGAGAAAACTTTGCCTCTGTCAGTGAGTACGGACGGACCTGGCAAGACGTCACATTCGAGCAGGCAGGGCGTGCAGGTTACGTTGGCCAGAGAGGAGGACCTGGAGCAAGAAGCAGGCAGTGTTCGGGAGTGCAGGTTCGCAGTATTTGGGTGGGTGGGATATGGCAGAAGTGCATTTGCACATTTATAGTCTTTGAAGACGGGTGCTGGTGATGATAGCAACAAGTGCTGTGGGTATATTTCCCAGAGCGATTGGTAGGAGAGAATATTTCTTGACTCGACACACATAAAGGAGGTGGTTCATACAGCAGAAAAATTGTGAACGTACTGGGCACAAGGACGGTGCTGCATGTGGGAGAAGTTTTTCCGGACGTTGCTCTCAAGGGGGGAGCTTCACACAGTGGAGGAAATTTTCTGAGATTCACAAGCAAAGGTTCGTGGTGGAAAGATGGTAAAAGACCCATAATTTCTGGATTTCACATACAGGAGCTGTTGTTATGCAACGTTAAGAGACCAAGGAAGCTGCACTCGCATACATAAGAACGCTTGTGGAACAGGCAGCTAGCAGACTGACAGGCTTAAGGTGTGTGCAGGTAGAAAGGGGGAGGAAGAGGTGTACGCTGCGAGTACTTGAGCAGAACACGACCGTTCTATCGGACAGACCTGTGATACTTGGAGCTCGAAAAAAAAAGTGTTTGTGAGAGTTATGGACGGGAGAGTTGTGACAAGAACTTTGGCTGTTGCTAATCGGGCGAATCCATCTGCAGGACAGGTGTTCGAGGGAGCTAACCATGTTTTTTCAGGAGAAGGCAAGAAGAGCTTCGAACCATGCAATTGGCCAACACAGCCTCATTTAACAGGAGCGGTCGAGAGTGCGCTCGCAGCAGCGGCAAAGCAATGTTTTCCGTCAATGTCAACAGTTGACCTGGGTGTTGGAGAACTCGGCAGTCTTCCAACGACGCACAAAAATCCTGCAAGCATCCATGTTTCCACAAATGCACCCGGATGTCAGTCAGAAGATGTTGCTGGAATGGATGTGGAAGAGGGGAGCGATCATGCCATTGAAAGAAATGGGGAGGGCAAGGGAGAAAAGACCAGCTTGCAGTCTTCGTCAATCGCGACTTCAGGTCTCCTGGGGGTAACTGCATGTAGGAGTGAAGCGGGTCTTTCTGCCAGTGCAATGCAAGCGGCTGTGAACGAGGTGGCTGGTGATGTTGTTAAGGGCGGCGAAGGTGCTTCTTGTGGCGCAAATGGGTGTACGGGGCCAGCGTCCTGCTTCCACAAGGAGGATACTTGTAGTAGTCTCATGATCTGCAGCCATGCTCAACCTGGGAGTGCTTCCAGCACTATATGCACCCTGAGCTCATGCCCTCCTCCAATGTGCATGTACTGTTGCAAGATGCTTAAAGGCGGAGCTGATCGCACTCGGCAGAATGTCACAGCCGTTGTACAGAACCTTGATAGGTGTCCCCAGTGGCCAAATGCCCAGAAAGGTGTTGGGCACCAGCAGAGGTGGGTGCCATCTGGGCTTGCATCAAGCACAAGCAGCTGTGGGCAGCAGGGGAGCAGCCAGGTATCCGAGGTCCACGAGCCGTTGGGCGACTTGCTGCATGGTTGTGTGGAAAACGAGTACCTGTCTTCAAATGCATCAGATGATGATGGCTTTTCGGACGACTTTTTCAACAATAGCAACATGATGGGACCGGACGCTAATGTTAATGTTACGTCGGATTGCAGCGATGACGATCAATGTGGCATGCTTAGAGTTCCATCTAGTCAATCGGGATTGACTCTGAGCAATGTGTCTGAAATGGAGACGATGTCAATGATGAAGGGGAGCAAGAGTTGCATTCTGCCGATGACGAATAACAATACCATCGAAGGTGAACTGGGTGAGAGCATGGACTTCCCGAGCGATGATGGTTTTCAAGTTGGCAGCACCGACCATTGGCTGAGTGAGCACGGTGATAGAGATTATGGCAGCAGAGGAAATGTGTACGACGATTCTCAGAAGAGAAGTAGAGACGATTCGGTCGTTATTACCAAGCTCAAAGGGATTGGGGATCCTCCGTCTTCCTCTCCGCTGCCAAAGCTGAAGAGGCAATGCGTAGAGGGACGTGTCCATCCTGATTCGAGGGGTGGAAATGCGTCAAGCAATGGTGTTCCCGGAGTCAGTGGGGGGGGGATCAAATCTACGTGCACATGGAAGGTTAGCGCGAATTCCGCTCGTGCAACACAGCCATCAGATGACAACGCGCGTAGCTGTCAGCAAGGCGACATGGAAAGTGGGAGCCCCTTGGGAGGTGATTGCATTCAAGCACCGTGTCCTCGCATGGGTTTTGAGAAGCAAAATGTGTGTTCGCGTGCGGAGAGCAGCATCCAGGTCTGTCTGCAACATCAGCAGGATTGCGAGATGGTGCCCCTTTGTGGGACGCCATTAGATCAGTACGGCTTGCACGCTGGGGGTCAGCAGCCAGTTGGTTGCACATTGCCATTGCCAGGAGAACACGGGAATCGTCTGCCGTATACTGTGGAAGAGCTGGCAAGTACCCTTGCCCCTGCCGGCACATCGGCAGATGTAGCACCAGGGATTGCAGACGTGAAGGGCGTTGCGATTTCAACCAATAGCACTATATCTTCGACGATTCCAGGTGACAAAAGCTGTGACGACTTCACCAAGAGCAAGGTAGATAGCTCATGGAGACGGACAGGCTCTGTGGCATGCTCTAGCAGTACGCATAACATGTTTGGCGGCTCCATATGCGAGGGAGCTGCTCCAGCAGTCACAGTTTCAACGTCAATGCCGATGCTCACTGCAACAATGAGTTTGCCTGCTGCGACCAAGGGTGTTTCGACATCCATGCCGATGCTTACTGCAAAGTTGATGCCGGCGATTTCTGCGACCGTAACTTCCTCTTCTGTAGGTGCGAGTGCAACAAGCCTGGGTATTCCTGGCACAGGTATTGCAGTTAACGGTTTGACTTTCGATACAAATCCCCAACCCGCTGTTTCCCCGTTGATGACAATGGACCTGCCGCAGTGCTTGAAAGATGAATGCAACGCAGCTGAGAGATGCTGTGCGACAACTTTGCCAGTAGGCAGCAGTCCAAAGAGTCTGTTCGCTGAGGGAGGAATTGTGTGTGCAGAATTGGAATTGTCCCAACAGACGCCAGGTGAGCTTGGCAGACGACCGTCTAGGATGTCCGAGAAGGGTGGCAAAGTTTGCAGGGTGGAGGGTTGCGGTAAAGGTGCCAGAGGAAGCTCGGGTCTGTGCATTGCGCACGGCGGTGGAAGACGGTGTGAATATCCAGGTTGTAACAAGGGAGCCGAGGGTCGTACGTCCTTTTGCAAGGCCCACGGCGGAGGCCGCAGGTGTCAGAAAGAGGGCTGCAAGAAGAGTGCCGAAGGTAAGACCCCCTTCTGCATTGCCCATGGTGGCGGTAGGCGCTGTGGGTACGAGGGTTGTGAGCGCAGCGCTCGAGGGAGCTCTGGCTTCTGCATCCGACACGGCGGTGGGAAGCGCTGTTCGATGGAGGGTTGCAATCGCAGTGCCGAAGGCCACTCAGGACTCTGCATCTCTCATGGTGGCGGCCGTCGCTGCCAATTTCCCAACTGCACCAAAGGCGCTCAGGGAAGCACTAAATATTGTAAGGCTCACGGAGGTGGCAAACGTTGTACTGCTCCTGGGTGTAACAAAGGAGCGGAGGGGAAAACTCCATTCTGCAAGGCGCACGGCGGCGGTAAGCGGTGCCAATACGGTGGCAAGGGCGAATGCAAAAGAAGCGTACACGGTGGTACAGACTTCTGCGTTGCACACGGTGGAGGAAAGCGATGTGCCTTCGCAGGGTGTACAAAGAGTGCGCGTGGGAAGACCGCTTACTGTGTCCGGCATGGCGGTGGAAAACGGTGCCAGTTCCCGGGCTGCGGAAAGAGTGCTCAAGGCAGCACAGACTTCTGCAAGGCTCATGGCGGTGGAAAGCGTTGCATATGGGGAAGCATTACAGGCGGTGAAAAATGTGACCGATTCGCAAGAGGAAGGACAGGACTTTGCAGTGCCCATGCCGCCATGCAGAGAGAGGACCACCTACCGTTACCCCAAACGGCTTTGAACTGTATGGGCGTGGTCATGCCCGGTGGTGCTGTGCCGCCGCCTGTTGGCGTAAGCGGAGGTGGTGTAGGTCCCGGCCCTTTCCCAAATGTGCTTCCTTCTAATACCTCGCAACTGAATGCGGCGGGTGAAAATCAGTCTCATGCGGGGTTGTCGTCCTCTGATCAGATATCAAATGCAGCATCTACGTATGGGATGGCTCCTCTGACGTCATGTAATGGAATTGTCAAGTCTGCACAGCCGGCAAGCATGGTTGAGACTGATATCCCTGCCATAGGATCTGCCCGATTAAGGGTCAATCCGGGGCATGTAGATAATGGGCTTGGGAGAGGTGGCATTGTGGAGCGCGTGGGTACCATCAACGGGATCACGGCAGGTCCACGACTGTCGTTGTGTATGCCTCTCAGTGGTATCAGACCGAGCAACATGATGGTTGATGTGGCTGCCTCAACTGCCATCACCGTTGATGCGAATGCTTCAGCAGTTGGGATAAACTCCAATCCCTCGTCGCTGAAATTGCCTGACAATGCTATTGGTGGTAATCTTCCGTCCGGCACACCCAATGCAGTTAGCAGTTGCTTTTCGCCACCACTGGTTTGCGTCTCTGAGGGCTTTGGGTTGCAAGGGGTGCAACGGCTTCCCGTTCAGAAGGTAGGGGGCTCTGGATGCGAGTTTGCTCCCACTCTCTCCGCGACTGGATTGACTACTGTCGACATCTCCTCCAACGTACCTGTGTTGGCTCAGGGTGCATCTAGAAGGATGAACCCTGTTGATGTGGGCGATTCACCGGCAAACATGAGCATGAGGAGCCTAAGCTCTGCAAACAACAGACGGTCTTGTCAGTTGGACAGGCAACTGCAGTTTACAGGCTCTGACAAGTTCCCAGATGATATGGATGTCTCTCAAGCTTCGGATAGAATGACATACATGCCAGCAACTAGAGCGAAGAATGCGATGCCTCAGGCTCTGATGATTGATTCGGGGTCGGCGGGAGGAAGCTGCGCTCGACCGTTAACGAAGTCAAGCAGCACACTGGAGTCTCTTCAGCAGGGAGCAGCTGGGAATGGGTCATTAATGAGAATGCTCAATGGAGAAGGAGGGACAGTGCAAGGAAACCATCTTCGGGGCATTTCGGCTGTGAACGTTGACATGGAAGCTGGCGTGGGCATCAGCAGCAGCATGCCCATGCCAGCTTCAATGTCATCGGGACGGACCATACATGAAACCAACATGCTCGTACCAAAGGCTGCGCAGGCACCGCTTGGTATGGCAGGTGTGACTTCCTCGATGATGATGGGCATGACTGGGCTCGATGCAGTGGCCATGACAGTTTGTGCAACATCTTTCGGGCTGGAAGCTCAAACCTCCTTTGCGGCAAATGGGACCTGTGCAAAGGTAGGGGATATGGGGATGAGGCAATTGATCACTCCCCTTGGAATTGGAACAAGCCTGAGCATGCAGCAGGCGCGCCCCCATGTGACGAGCGTTGGGGGAAGTGCGCCGTCTGCAAGCTATTGTTTATAAGAACCGTATTTTTGACCTAGACATGTGAATTTTGAGGCAACAGCAGGTGTAACGATCTGGAGGGGGTAGTAGGGTTCATGGGGGGGATTGGATGCGTGATTGGTTGCTGGGGGTTCTTGGCGGGGTTGTCATGTATGTGTATGCTTCTGCACATTCATCAGGGGACGGGGTGCTTTGGGGCAGTGAAGGGTCTGTGTTATTGTGTCCTGAGCTAGGGGTTGAAGAGGGAAGTGCAGGGAGCCGGCAGAGAGGAGGGCGGGGGGGGGGGGGGGGGGRGGGTTCGTAGGTGCTTTTGACCGGGGTGGTGGGGAAGGGAGTTAAGGGGATTGGAAAGAACTGGGAAACAGCGGGGGGTGGGGTATTTCAAGAGAATGTGGGGCCTTTGTGGGGGGGGGGGGGGAGGGGGGGGGTAAGACAGGAGGGTGATGCGTTGAAGAGCAGTTGGTACCACAGCTGAAGACAGGTGTTGTCCACATGCATGCAGTGCCCCTGGACAGGAGGAGAGGCCAGGAACAGTGATGATCTTGTACAGCATGCGAGCGTCTAGACATGTGGTGATCAACGGATACAGAGGTTTTCCAGATTGAGTCGTTTTGATTGACAATTTGATGCAGTGTACACAGGAAGCAGTCGCAGTGAGGAGGAGGCCTTTCGAGGGAGTTGGCGACAGGTAGCAGTTAGAGCGGTGGATGTGTGTACGTTTCAGAACGACATGGGAGAAAGAGGGGGAGAGCCTTGAGAATTGTTCGGTTAAGAACATCCACACTGGTCAGGCTGTCGTTGCGAGGTGTACGAGGAAGAGATGGAAGTGAAATGTTGTCCTGAATATATGTTGGATATTCCCCTGCTCAAGGAGGCAAATGTCAGAGATGGTACCGTCGACTTCATCTAGTTGTGGCGCGAGTTTGACAACTCCTTAGTTCATCAGAAAGCTAGTTAGTAGGTAACTCAACACCCTGATATTCTTCTCTTGCACTTTCAGCACTCGGGTGACTCGTCAGAAGGATTTAACTGACTTGAATTCTAATGCACACACACAGACACACACATACACACGCATACACACACATACACACACATACACACACATACACACACATACACACACATACACACACATACACAGAGCAACAAGCAACACGACACGAACACATGCACACATACACACATACACACACGTACACACACATACACAGAGCAACAAGCAACACAACACGAACACATGCACACACGCAAACACACTTAATGCACACAAGAAGATAGATAACTGCAGGTGACTCATTCACAATGCCGGAAACTCTTTTCTTTCCCTCCCCCCCGCCCTGCCCACCCCCTCTCACAAGTGAGCTCCGGGTGACTTCTCAACGAGGATCACTGACCAAGCGTTCAGACCCTCTCTCTCACACACACATTAGTTCTGCGAGGTTCACTGACTAAGCATTTAGACTCTCTCTCTCTCTCTCTCTCTCTCTCTCTCTCTCTCTCTCTCTCTCTCTCTCTCTCTCTCTCTCTCTCTCT